AAATATAAAAGTTACGAGAAAATTAAATGTCAATAGTACCTCTAAAATCGCCATTACAATAACACACAACTACGGCCAAAAGTTCGATTTTTTTTAATAAAAAATAAATAAATAATTAAAAAAAACTATGGCCATCAATTGTCAGGAGGCTTGGTAGTACCATACGAATTAGGAATGGACTTAGTTTAGATAATTGAATTGAGAGACCGGAATCGCCCATCGAATTTACCAAAATTAGTGGAGGAAATTTTGATTTTGACTTCGACCACATGCAGTCTACCTAACAAACGGTTTAGTGCTGGTCGATTTATTGATGGGCTAAATAGAAAAGTAAATCTTGAGAGGAGGCTCAAAGGAGACTTGTATGTCGTGGGGATAATATTGTTTTGCTATTCCCATATAATTATGTTCCGTCATGTAGAATCCTTATCACTTATGGCAAAGCATGATTGGTTAGAGATGGCAAAACAGTGTTATTCCTGTGATATACAAGTTTTTCTCGACTTAGAGAAGGAAGAGTGTTGAGGTGAAGCTTGGGCAAGATGTGCAATGTGCATGCTAATTTTTATCTTGTGGCACGAAGGCTTGTCGTTGTCTTGAGTAATGAATCTATTCCTTTAATGGGTAAACTATAAGAATGTCACCTTAACTTATACACGAGCTTCAATTTTTCACCAAAAAAAAAATCATTATGTCCACCTAACACCAATTCCGTTAATATATATATACATATTTAATATAAACGATATTTTAAACTACAAGTAGAGGGGATTTTCTCACACATACACACACACTATCAGAGTGTCATTGAAGTTCGAACCTGATATCACTAGTCTGCGAGTCAATGCCCTTATCCACTAGGCTAGACTTTGTCGAAATATGTATTAAAAGTAATGTGTCATGCATATGCCTGACTTGAAATAATAATGGTAACAATAAGGCTTAAATGCAAAAATAGTCCCTGTGTTACATCACGGTGGCCAATTTAGTCACTGTGTTCTGAAGCAGTGCTACAGCCTATAATGCCATTATAGCATGCAAAATTCTTTTGCAGCATTTGAAACAATATGCCACTCAAGAGGGTAATAGATAATCTACTCAAGCTGAAGGCGAAAAATACAATTGCTCAGAAACTTCCCATGACATTAAACCCCCCAAAAAAAATTAAGTGACATTTTCAATCATAATGTCGGTAACACATTATGATTTGTTTGTTTACATCAGAACCAGGCAATTATCGGGAGCTACAACACTAGACCAAAGAACCTTTATGTAGATCAATTATGCAGCCTCAGTATGCGTACTCAAGAAGTGGATTTTATGTGACACTGATAGAAGTAGCATATGATTGGAGAAGTGTAAGAGCTTGGTCTGTGATAGCCCTATTCCTAGCACGCTTCACCCATTCGCGCACTACTTCTGTTGCTTGGGTGCCTTTCACACCTTCTTCAAGTGCCTCTGCTGCTTCGGCTATTTTCCCGTCAGCAAGGCAGGACTCCACCATGTTGATGATGGATTCAATTCCATCCCCAGATTGATCAACTTCCTTTACCTAGACAAAATCCCAAAAACAAATACAACGAACATTCCAATAAGTTAATTTATACTAGTGATTTAGAATGGAAAACACAGGCCGCATATCTACTTACCTTCAACCAGGATGCTATATGTGCCAAGGAATGTGCCAAAATGCCGCCACCACCAAGAGGGATTAAGCTGAGGTGCCGTACTGTCCCTTTCAAGGCATCAAACTGCAAGAAGAATGAAGTTAGTACAGCACTGAGTATTACCCTACTTGCTAGGATTTCAAGAATTAACAATTCAGAACTTGAAGCACTCAACTATTCTCATTTCATACTAAGGATTTCCGTAATTCTTGTATCTGCAGCAAGTTGAATTAATACCTCATATATTTTTCATATGGATACTCATTAACTCACGAAATGGCTCACACTGAACCTGTATCCTTTATGCATTTATTAAGGAAGTCGCTAAACCAAAATTTTGAATATCTCAACCAAACAGAAGACTAGTGATCAAACAAACATTTGAGAATACTTGAAACGTTAGTCAATATGTCCTTAATGAAGCATATTAAATTTAATCTTACATGTTTTTACAACCAAAAAGTACGCACGAGATAGAGAGAGGGAAATTAGAACCAAGTTGTCCAGGACAAAGGGAAAAGGAGTAAAAAGGTTTCCAAATTCCAAGCATATGAAGCGGTGCATTTCTGTCAGCATGATAAAACAATTTAAGGCAAAATACTAAAGAGATCCTAGTCAACAATAACTATTTTAGAATATCAGCCCCAAGTAAGTCCATGTCTTAAAAATGACAAATGGGGCAATTGCCACCCTTGCTAATAAATGAACAAATGAGTAGACAGAATCTCATCAACAGTTCTGAATGCTTATATACAGAACAATTCACCCAAAAATCTAATCAGACATCTTTCATGTAGTAGTAACATAGAATATGTTATGTATCCATAACCTGTTGCTCTATGTATGACTTCTGAGGCAACTCTTGAGCACAATTTTAACAACTTTATGTCGAAAAACTTAGACATGCATGAATTACTAGCAGGTCAACGTTGGGCATTCAAACTATCTAGGAGGAATAATATTCCTCCCGTCAACTATACAAATCAGTAAGGTTAACGTCTTGGCCATTAATTAGAGCGGAAAGGTTAACGTCTTGGCCATTAATTAAAGCGGACCAAAGCATAGTTCAATCGTAAAAGTAAAAAGTTACAGAAGGATGTTAATAGTTGACGGCATAAGAAGGGTGAGTCCCTTAGCAAATATTTAATGAAGAACTAAGAAAATAACTAACCTTCTGATTCAATTGCAGTAAGGTATCTGTGCCATTCCTTCGTGTTTCCTCAGGAAGAGATGATAGGACCAAATCTAAAATTGAATCTTTATCAATGCCTTCAAGATAAGTGTGTAAAGCCTCTATTTCTGTCTGGATTGGTAATCCTTTTGAAAGTGCATCTTCTAGTGCAAGTGCTCCCTGCAAAGAACAACAAAACATATCATTGTTAAGAAGTAACTTACAGGCTTAGAAAATCACTGATGAGGGTATTAACACATTAAGTTCTCTTCTAAATAAAAAGTTGGAAGTCAATGAAAAGAAGGAAAAGAATAATAATATTCACCAAAGCAAGCTTGTGAGCAGAGTGAGTCTGACGAGCTTCTTCAGATCTTGCATAGAATGCCACACACAAGGCATTTATCTACAAAAATAACTTAAACATCAGATTTCATAATGGACCAATTAGACAATCATTATTAGAGACATTAATACAGACAAACGTACCATGCACCACCCAACATAGAACTATTTAAGCAAGATTCATCAGTTATTATCACAAAGCTGTATAAAATTGAAGTCTACATGCCTTAACCCTCTGAACAGGTCATAAGTGGACCATTAAGTATGACTTCATTTACTAAACTTTGACATACAGATATACAGTTAATTCACTTTTTGACATACAGAGGCTTATAATCTAGAAAAAGCGAGCAAAACTACAAGCACATTTATATATCTAGAGCAGTTTACACCATTTAATGTGGTCTGCAAAACGGGAGTTACATTTCCTTCATGTTGGACATGGGCAAAATGGATCTACAAAA